CTTTGCATCTATTTCCCTGCTGCTTGATGTGATGCAATCTCGATTTCTCAAGACCACATAGTCCATAATGCATTGCTTCCAGCAAGCAATGATAATGTTACATTGTTCAGGCGTTGAGTTATAGTTTAGATCTTCTTCTCACACCAGAGGGGGCCATCTGGGGTACCGCTCACCGCTGATAATTCTGGTGCCAGAATCAGCAAAAGGTGTAAGAAGCTAGTCCTTATGATATCCTCAGCCACTAAAAAGCCATATTACAGCTATGCATTCATCAAGAACTTCCTGAGAAGAAAATACATTTTAAACATGAATTGCATTGCGACAACATTCTTGAGGCAAGAACAAAAACTCAAAGTACAATAGAGTCCAAATATACAATTATGTGGTGATGATAATTCCCTTCATCAAGAACAAGACAGTGCGCGCAGCCCGGCTTTCATACGCAAAGATTAAGCCTTTCCTGTTTATTTACCAGGCTTCCCCTTTCACAAACTGATACGATTCCCAGTACAATTCTCTTTGTGTTTTCCTTCTCTCACCCAGTATAATTCAATTAAACCAACATCACGTCTGGACATGATGAGTCAATGATAAAATAACAATATCTCCTTGCTCAATGCAACGGCTTAAGACATCACACAGCAAATACACAAACAGGACAGGACAATTCCTATCTTAAAGCTTGCTAAAGCCACATACTGCTTCCATACATGTATGAACATACGCTGTCCTCACAAGTGGAAATTGGATTTCTGTTCTGTACAATACTGGATTAAATGAATACATAAAAAAAGAAAAGGTAATATCGACCAATTTTATGAACTGCAGGAAAACGTTAATAAATACCCTTACTCCTACTACGAATGAAGATCTCACCCTCTGTCTTCAGAAACAAATTGCTGTATAGTTAGAACAATCCTCCAATGACACGATGGAGTGACACGGCTCTGCTGATTGGGGTCTGTGCAGTTGTGATATTTTGGGCAATTAGCAAAAGTGAATGTATTGAAATTGCCTGTAAAAAAATGATCAACATGTTAGAAATGGAATGTTTTATTCTACATTATGCAAAACAGATGACTTGAACGCAACATTATTTCTTTGGGCACAAATTTCATTTTAAAAACTGTTTTTTGTTTTTTTTAACTTTACTTTGACTGCTATCACATGGGGGGGGCTTACAAGCCTCCCCATGCACTTACCTTAAATGATGTTTGAAATGATGGGGCCACGTCAGCACTTACCTTAAATCAGCGTTTTTCAACCACTGTGCCGCGGCACACTAGTGTGCCGTGAGATATTTTCTGGTGTGCCGTCAATAAATCGTTAATTTCTTTGATCGATCAAAATTATTTTGATCGATCAAAGTTACTCACCTCTCCGCCGGCTTCCGGGTCTTCCGTCGGAGATCCGGTGACGTCACGGACATCGACGTCACCGGACTCCTCCCCCCTTCCCCGAGTGGCTCTGTCGGCTAACGAAGGGAAGGGGGGAGGAGTCGGGTGATGTAGTTGTCCGGGATGGGTAACGAAGAGAAGGAGGGAGGAGTCCGGTGACGTCACGGACAGACTCCTCCCCCTTCCCTTCGTTATGGCCGAGGGAGAAGCGGCCTAGCCGTCGGAGGCTGCGGTGGTATTTTCTAATGGTGGTGTGCCTCGTGATTTTTTTCATGAAAAAAGTGTGCCTTTGCACAAAAAAGGTTGAAAAACACTGCCTTAAATGATGTTTCTTAATCCGATCTTCCTCTTCTTTCCTGATGTTTTCAGCCTTCTCTCCAGCGGTGCAGCGACCCTCCGATCCAGCGCTGACTGCTCTGTCCCTCTGATCCAGCAGTGTCTGCATGCGGGTGCACGCGTCCATAGACTTACCCTGCGTCCCTCGTCGCGTCCCGGCCGAAAATGAGAACTGCGCATGTGCACGCCCCAAGTTCCTTTGCGGCCGCTCAAGAAATTTCTCATTTTCGCACGGGACCACGCAGGGAACACAGGGTAAGTCTAAACTGCTGTTAAAGCGTTTTGTTTAAAAAACGGGAGGGTTTAAATATCCTTTAAAGTCACTTTAACCCTTGCAGTGGGGGTACCCCATGCACTGCAAGGGTTAAGTGCTCGTTTGTGTCTAGGGCAGGGGTAGGCAACCTTGGCTCTCCAGCTGTGCTGAAACTACAAATCCCATAAGGCATTGCAAGCCAGAGGCAGAAGCATGATGGGATTTGTAGTTTCAGCACAGCTGGAGAGCCAAGGTTGCCTACCCCTGGCCTAGGGTAAAAAAAAAGCTATACTCACCCTATCCTCTGCCATCTGTCACAATGCTCCCTCCAGCCTGTCTTCTCCTACACTCCAGCGATGTTATGTGCCTTGGTGTCCTCACGTCCTATACACTGTGTATAGAATATGATGACTCAGGGACCTTATACCGCTGCAGCATAGGAGGAGAGAGGTTCCAGGGACTAGTCTAAGAGCCAGCCATCTCCGAGGATCAGGTCAGTATAACTATTTTTTTTTAACAAGACAAAAACGAGCAGTTAACCATTGCAAAGGTTTATACATTTCTTTTTGTGGAGCTTTGACTGTTAAAAGATAAAGCATTGTAAACACTTTGTAAACAGATGTTAACATGAGATGCTCTGTATCCTGCCACTCAGATGTTTCCAATATAAAAACATGGGATTTAAAAAACAACAAATTAGCAATGGAAGCACCTATATTTCACTATGTGTATACCTCCTTGTATCACTAGCCAGATCACAATGTGATTAGGAATGGGCAGACATCACACACCATTGTTCTTAGTGAGAGATTCTGTGGCCACACATAATGATGGAATTCACAGAGGGATTCATGGAATACATTGGATTAGGTAATGGCTTTTGAGCGAGTCAGCTACAATATACACTCACCGGCCACTTTATTGGGTACACCTTGCTAGTACTGGGTTGGACCCCCTTTTGCCTTCAGAGCTGCCTTCACTCTTCGTGGCATAGATTCAACAAGGTGTTGGAAACATTCCTCAGAGATTTTGGTCCATACTGACATGATAGCATCACCCAAAGTGTGCCAAGAAAATATCCCCCACACCATTACACCACCACAACCAGCCCCTCCAGCGCTGCCGATCTACGCCGTCATCATTTGCTTTGCTGAATGAAATATCTTTAGCATCCGGCACACTTTCAGGCCAAGTTCACACCTGCGCGATCCGTGACCGTGCTGCAATCGTGCGGATTGCCGTGCAGTTATGGAGTCGCCCACCACCGTCAACCGCGCTGGCAGTGCCATTATTTACTAATGGCACCCCAGTTGCGCCGTGTGTATCATGCGATTTCCAATAGCGATTTCGCCCATGCAATCGAACACAATCGCGGCTAAAACAGCGGCAGGTCGTGTGTCGCAAAAGAAGGTACATATACCTTTTTTCAGCAATTTTCGCGCGGATGTAACCCTATTGAAACCAGTGGGGCCACGCGGCAATGCTGTGTGCAATTGTGCATGCTCACGCGTGTCCCGGATCACCCAGGTCTGCACCAGCCCTCGGGTGCGCCAGTTATCTGGTCCCCATATGTGGTTCCTTACTCCAGTCCCTATGACACTGAAGGAATCACAGCATGCTAAACGGGGAGAAGAAGTTGAAGATTTTTCATGCAGTGTAAGTCATGCTTCACTGCAAGACAGCTGAAATTGGTGGCAGGAGGGGTAAGTTGTAACCCTATGCTTCGGAATCAAAGAAGAACACCAGGAATTAACCCTTGCAGTGGGGTTACCCCAGCACTGCAAAGGTTAACTGCTCGTTTTGGTTAGGGGTGAAAATTAAAAAATACCCACCCGATCCTCAATCCTGCGACAGTGACAGTTCACCTCTCTCCCTCTCCGCTCCAGCTATGGTATGTCCCTAGGTGTCCTCACATCTAATGGACTGCATTGCACATGATGATGTCATGAGTCCTTTGACTGGGGGAGAAGAGGCTGTGGGGATCGGTCTAGCAGCCAGGCGGGACTGAGGATTGTGAGAGTATTTCTTCTTTATTTTTGCCCCCAGACAAGTGTGGGGGTACTACCACTGCTAAGGTTTATTTTTAAAATCTCTGGTGTTCTTTAAGTTTTAACATAGTGACAGTATCACTTAAAAACTCTTTTAGCTCCCTCTCTCTATATATATATATATATTATAATAGCAGAGTCCTGCCAAAAAGTCAGTCTAA